CTATACCGACAGGGCGGGGTGGGGTTGGCCTTCTGCACCACTGAGATCTGGCACGTCTGCGAGTCGTAGTGGGCTTCACACCAGTCGGGGAAGTCGATGGGGTGCTGAGTGCTGTGGGAGAAGGCGCTGTCAGCTCCCCCACAGCATCTCACTGTTCTGGGACACCCTTGGCCCCTGCTTGGTGTCCCCATTCACCCCACCACCCTCAATACCCCGGTGGGTTCCTGCCCACCTCTGCCCCTTGTTCCCTATGCCTGGCACCCCACGTTTGCACCCACCAGACTCACAAAGGTGCCATGGCAGGGCAGCACGGCCGCAGGATCCCACCCCAGCACCCCCTGCTCCCCTCACTCACGTCTCGCAGCAGCCCACGCCAATGTCCCCATTCACCCCACCACCCTCAATACCCCGGTGGGTTCCTGCCCACCTCTGCCCCTTGTTCCCTATGCCTGGCACCCCACGTTTGCACCCACCAGACTCACAAAGGTGCCATGGCAGGGCAGCACGGCCGCAGGATCCCACCCCAGCACCCCCTGCTCCCCTCACTCACGTCTCGCAGCAGCCCACGCCAATGGGGTGCAGGCAGGTACAGAGCAGGCAGTTGGTGCTCAGCCACGACTCCCCGAGGGAGAACTGCTTCCCCTCGTACTCACAGGGAGCTGTAGAGAAAACGGTGGTAATAAGCACACATGGGCCTGCGCCGGGGTGTGTGGGACCCTCCTCGGCACCTCTGTGCCCTGAAGGAGGGATGAGGGATGCCATAACCTCCTACCCACCCTGTGGTACAGAAGACATGTGGTGGCCTCTCCGCCACCCTTCAGGTATGGGATGCCCAAGCACCTGCCAAGGGTGATGCTCCCACCCTTCATCCCCTGGCCATGCCCTGCAGCTCTCCCTGCTACCCTGACAGCCTGCGGCAGAGACAAGCACCCCTTGCTTCCCAGGAGAGGCCATACCCAGCATCCCTGGGGATTTGAGCATCTCGGCAGCAGAGGAAAGATGGGCAGCCCTCTTCCATTTGCTGTGCACTCAGCCCCAGCCGGGCCCCTGCCAGGAGCGGTCCATGGCCCAGCGAGCTGTTTCTCAGCCAGAGCCCTGGGGAGCTGTTGTGTGGTTTATAGACTGCTCCTTCCACTCATCACTGGCCCGTGATCACGCTCCTGAGCTCATCACAGTCCCTCCTGTGCTTCACAGGCACACGGGGCAGAGCCCCAGCGCCCCAGGAAAGCTGAGGCCTTCCCTTCCCATCAGCCTCTTAGCACCTCAGCTTTCTGCTTACCTTTAGCTTGGAAATAGCATTTGGCCTGGGAGCTCGGCAGCTGGAGGAGGAGGGAGAGCAGCAGGCAAAGCCAAGCACACCCCATCTTCTGTGCTTGCATGGCCATGGTCAGCGTTGAGCTGGGCTTCTTCACCGAGGTTGCCTTGCTTCTCTATTGCCTTTGCTTCTTCCCTTCAATCTCTCTTGCTCTTTCTGAGCGCCTTTTTAATGCTCTTCTCCTGATCCCAACAAGAGATATTTATAAAGTTCAGCTTTACGACCCTGGCCACCAGCTGTGCCCCACTGGAAAAGTTGTAAAACTCATTTCCTGATTTGAAAGGCATGAAAACAAGAGGTAGGATCAAGATTTTTAACAAGCTGTGAAAAGCTGATTCATGCCCTCCAGAAATGCCTCCAGTTGGAAGCCCCGGTGGGTGCAAGGCTCCTCAGCAAGGGGAGATCCAAGGGACCCCAGTGGGGTTGCCCTCAGCAGCGTGGTAAGCACAGGAGACCCTGGACCCTGACCAGGATAGCTCCAGGCTCCCCTCTGGTCGCGCTGATCTCTGATCCTTCACAGCAGCCAAGGATTTGGGAGCATCCCATTGCGCAGAGACCAGAGCAGCACAGATGTCCTGTCAACAAACAATGTCGGACGCAATGGTGCCATTCTTGGTGGGCATGGAGATGCTTGTACTGAGCTCCTGGGTACCAAAACATGGGAGTTTCACCCCATCCTGGGCTGCAGCTATGCCAGGCTCATGGCCACGCGTGGACTGGGTGTGACAGCAGGTTTTTTGGCCAGGAGCAGGCAGGACAGTGATTGCCAGTGGTGCAGAGCTGGTGAGGAAGGTTCTGCACAAGGCATGACCCAAGGCTTATCTGAGCAGTGCCCATGAAAGTGGGGCTGTGCCTGTGTACATGCAGCACCCACAAGATGCTGGAGCTGAGCAGCCTCTTTCAGAGGCTGGAGACCAGCCCCAGCAGAAACAGGGAACAGGACAGATGAAATCAGGAGGGGAAAGTGCATTGGGTCAACAAAGAGAGAGAACTGAGGGGCTCGGGTGGAAGCAGGCAGCCATGAGATGCCACACCATGCAGAGACATACCCATGGTCCACACAGACCCTTACCCAGAGGGGCTGCCTGTGGGCCGAAGTGATAAGGCTGTTATCAGCTGGCAAAGGGAGGGGATAGGTGAGAGGGAGCAGGTCAGAGCCCTGGAAAGCTACCAGCAAAGGGCTGAATTGCCAAGAGAAATCCCAGCCCTTGTCAGAGGTGCTGCCGGCAGCAGGAAGCGGGTCCAGCCGGTGAGGAGGTGGTGTCAGTAGCGATGGCACATGTGGGTCATCTTCCCTGCGTTAAGCTCCCTCCTTTCTGAGAGTTTGGGATAAGTTTGCACCCTGACGCGTGAGGCTGAATATCCCTTCCAGAATTTGTGTTGGCACCCGCTATTATAGCTGGGTATTTTTTTTCATCCCCATAAATGCCCAATCCCTCCTTGAATCCTGCTAAATTTTGGCCTGAGTGTTTTCCTGTGGCAGCCTAATTAAGCACGGAGTGAAAAAGTGAAAAAGAATTGCTTCCTTTTATCCGCTTTGGATTTGCCACCTTTGGATTTGAAGGCACAGCCCCGTCGTGCTGGTGCTCTGGGCCCCCTCGCCATCATACTGCATCCCCATCCTGCATCTTGTGCTCTCACCTCCAAAGCACCAACCCCAGGTTTGCACCCCTTCTTCCCTCTGAGAGTTACCCCAGTGCTCTCCTAGTGCCCTGGGTGATGCCTGGATGGCAGCAAGGATGGGATCAGTTGGAAAAGGCGGATAGTAAATCAGAGAAGGTCTGAATATCCATGAACAATCTGCTGGATACAAGGACATACACTGACATGGTGAAGTGTACCAGCAACAAATCAAAGTCACCCTTTGATGTGGAGCTGTTACTATATAAGGAGGATAAAAGTGTTCGTCGTCAGAGTGGTAAATGAATATTCCTATTGTGTTTGGAAAAAGCAGTCTGGCATGCTGGTAGCCACAATGAAATCATCCATCATGGTTTCATCACCGAGCACGGCAAATGCTAAACAGAAGTGGTGGGTTTCATTTGGAGGCTGCATGGTCTGGCCAGGCTTCCAAAACAGCACTGGGAATCTGGAGCAAGAGCATCGTGCTGCTTTGTGGAGGGGCAC